CTTAAGCTGTTTAATTTTTAGGTCAGAAACTTTTATATCAGATTGACAGCACAGATATACTTCATTTAAGATTCCCAGTTCTTCCTAACACACTCTGGAATATAAACACGCCATATTTATGGAAGCCTTTCTGCTTAAGAATATCTTTAGTGATTTGTATAAAATTTGTCCCTAAATCACCTAATAAAGAAGTAATTCGGTGATGCTAATCATTCTGAAGCTGATCTCAATGAAAGAATAGCAGGTAAGATAGAATCGAAGCAAAAGATACAAAAGCCGGTCCTCTATAAGGGTCGTTTTATTATACTGTATTAATTTGAAACTTGTTGAGCTTACTTCCATTTCGAGTGAAAGCGTTGGGTAAAAAGATTCGAAGGTCGATTCCACCAGAAGACGATGACGGATTCCTTTTGACCAACTGTCGATTTGCTTTACTGGAAGATTCATGCTGACGCTGTTTCCGAGGCAAACTCCTTCGATTCCGATGAAAAGGTGCTAAGCTTTCGTCCGTCATATGACGGACATCATCAGAGTGAGGCAACATCGTCACAATAAAATTCAAGCTAACGTTAGCTTGACGACGGACGAAAGCTTAGCAGCTTTTCACCGGAATCGAAGGAGATTGCCTCGGAAACAGCGTCAGACTGAATCTTCCAGTAAAGCCAATCGACAGCTGGTTAAGAGGAATCCGCCGTCGTCTTCTGATGGAACTGACCTTCGAATCTCTTCAGCCAACACTTTCACTCGAAATGGAAGTAAGCTTAACAATTGTGTAACAAGAGAGTCCTCGAAACCTAACTTTTCTTCGCATTAATTTGATACGTCAGCATGATCTGATTGCCGTGTAGATTGTGAGATAATTAAACAGAAAATAGACAAATTCTGGAAACCCCTAGTTCAGTATTTGCGGTTTAAAAGCAGATATACTCTATGCTTGGGGGCAAACGAAGATGGCAGCTCTGTGGACACTAAGTGAGACAGCCTCAAATGATTCACACTTTCTTATGTGTCTCGTATTAGTCATACAGGGTCGACTTGTGCTCGATAGACTGTGATAATTAGGCTTGATCGAGCATGATAAGGTCTGTTATCGCACCGAATTTATTCACATCATGAGATGAGCGTGTGTTAATGGCATCGCATGCATATATGCAGAAAAAGATGCAGGAGGAAAAGTTGATTATTTGCTGGACCCTCTGGCATCTGGCACTGGTGAATAAATATAGGATGAATTCATCCCATTTCGTTTAGGGTGATAAGGGGACTGCTAATTAAATTTTCCCACGATCATATGAGTAGACATGAAGTTTCCATTGAAAACCGGTGAATAAAGCTTTCACAAAGAAAAATGTAATCAAATGTAATTCTGACTTTCATCCAAGGTATTCCCCACTTTCATTGAGCTGCATGCCATACGTTTCACCCTCTTTTCATATGCTTCTACTTTGTAACAAGCCATCCTCACTCTTCTTTACCATCATTAGGTTTCAGCTTCTGATTGATCTGCATCTGCCCAATGCAGTCTACGAGGATTACCAAGCCAAACTGCATGACCTCCAGCGACAGGTTGCCAAGCTCACTGAACTGTCAGATCAGATGTCTAAAACTTCGAGAAGCACGAAGACTGCTGATTGCATCACCAGTTCGGACCAGAAAACGTGTATAATTACAAGCGGACTGTCTCTAGCCTGCCAAATTCAAGCGTTGGAGCTCAAGATTTCTGAGCTTCACCAATACAAGCCAGAAGCACCGTCGGCAGAATTAAACAAGGTCTGATTAACTTCTCAAGCCCTAAATAAAAATGCAGCCATTAAACTAGAGGTACCCGCCTAGAACGTGCAGGAAAACATCCCTCTACGGCAGTACAATAAGAAAGGGAATAGGATAAAAATTAAAAAATCGGCGATTGGACTAAAATGAATATATAAGCTCAGTTTGAGCATAACAAAATGACCAAATTATTTATAACTGTAAATGGATGGATGTATATACGTATTTATATGCAGAAAAGTTGACAATTTTTATTATATTCGAAGAACTGGCAGATACTCGGTTCAATTAAAAGGCAAGATAAACTATTAATCGTATGTTATAACAAGGGAATGCTTAATTTTTTCATTGAAATTCATTTCTTTTCAAATCACAAATGGTAGTTCTTATACAGGCTCGGTTGAAGTTGTTGAGCTTACTTCCATTTTGAGTAGAAGTGTTGGGTGAAGACATTCGAAGGTCGGTTCCACCAGAAGACGACGGCGGATTCCTTTTGACCAGCTGTCGATTGACTT